GCCGTCTTAGCCTTTGGATTGGATCCTGGTCAACTCTGCACATAGACATGTTGGCCACGGAGAAATACTTAGTCCAAATTGTAGCCCATGGTTAACTTCACCTAGCCGTGACCGGTCTTTCCCTTTCCTCTCCCAGGCTAACGACGCCTACCCGCCAGCATGACAGGGAACCCCAGACCCAAACGGGAGTGAAAAGAGGTGCCCTAAAGCCCATGGGAGGCCACTTCTCCCCCTTTTTTCTTTCTTTGCATGTGCCTCCGTGCATGTGTCCAACGCTGACGTCAGTCTTCATCCATCATTCTCCATTTTGCTCATTGATGCTTCAAGGTCTATCAGTTGAACCCAGAGTTCTCCAATGAGGCTGGTCTAGCTAGCAGCTTGCTCTAGGGATCTCCTGTCTCTGTTGTCCATGCACTGGAATTAGGGCAGGCCACCATGCCCGGAGGAGCCAAACTCCAGTCCCCACGATTGCATGATTGAATCATTACCCAGCTCGTTTACTTTCTCCTTCCTTCCTTTTCTCTTTCTTCCTTCCTTCCTTCCTTCCTTCCTTCCTTCCTTCCTTCCTTCCTTCCTTTTTCATGTGCCCTATGCGGGCCTACTACTTGACTATGTAGCCAAGAATGACCTTGGATTTCTGATCCTCCTGCTTTTACCTCTTGAGTAGCTTCTAAGGTGCTGGGGATCAAACCCAGGGTTTCATGCACTCTGCCAACTGAGCCACCCCCAGCTGATGTCCTGAAATTCCTGAAGAGATTTCTAGTGGCTCTATTGACTCACTGGGCCAGTTTGGACAGTTACAGTACCAATTCTATAATTCTTGCTTTTAAGTCCATTCTGATTTGATATGTCTTTATGCAAACTTTTCACATATTGAAATTGTTGCTGGGCCTTTAATTACAGCACTCAGAGGCAGAGGCAGACAGATACATCTCTGAGCGTGAAGCTGGTCTAGTCTACAAGGGAGGTCTAGGTCAGCCAGGGCTAGCTACACAGCTGGGCTCTGTGTGTCACAAACAAAATTTTACCTATGTCATGATTTTCAGGCTGGAGAGGTGAGTCAGCAGTTAAGAGCACTTCTCTTACAAATGACCTGAGCTTGGTCCCCAGCATCCACACTGAGCAGTTCACAACCTCCTGTGACTCCAGCTTCTGGGACTCTAATGCCTACTCTGGACTCTGTGGGTACACAAGGCTGCATAGCCACACACAGAAAGAAACCTACATACACTTATACAGAAATAAATACATCTTAAAAAAAAAAAAAAAAAAAAAAACTTCTCTAGCTACCATTTGTACTGGAGTTCTCCTCCAAAATTCATGTTTATTCAAAGCTCAAGAAGTGACTTTTTGAAAATAGGGTCTTTGCAACTCAATCAGTTGAGGTGCTGGATTAAGGGGGCCCGAAGTCTAAAGGCTGGTGGGGTCTTCTGAGGCCATGTGAGGACAGAGACTGGCGAGGAAGGCAGATAGGACTGAGGGGTCAACAAAAGGGAAGCCACTGTCTGTGCTGGGCTGGGGAAAGGGACAGACTTCTTTGAGCCCTTCAGAGGGAGGCAGCCCTCCCCACACTTGATTTCAGGGCTGCCTCCAGAACCGAGAACGTGTGATGCTTTAAGCAAATTGCAGCAGTTTGTTATCGTATTGCAAGGAACAAGCACAGCACTAATTTGTTGGTTCCCATTATACTTTGTAGACCTCTCCCCTTTCCTTCTGGTTACAAGTTCTTCACATTTTAATGTGCTGATGTGGCCTCTCGAAACCCAGAAACTATTGTTAATGTTGGTAACAGATTACTTGGATCTACAATATTTTAGATACCCTGTTTTGGGCATGATGCTGCTTTTTTTTTTTTTTTTCCCATTTATATGCTTTGGTCTTTTGTCATAAGTGTTGGGTGCCTTGGAATTAGAATTACAGACAGTTGTGAACAGATGAGTGCTGCTAGACCCCATCACCAGCAGGGTGGTGGCCTGGGCCTTAGCTGGGAGAGCTGTGATGGAAAAGTTTGTGAATCATGAATTAGTTTGACAGCATGAAGAAACAGGGGCCCACAGGATGCTAAGTGGGTCTTGGTAAAGCTGCACATAGTTGAAGCAGTGACTGAAGTAATCCCTGCCTGGTTTACACAGCGATAGTATGAATGGGATGACGAACCCTATCGATCTTTAGACGACGTTGGAAACCATGCTCTCGATTTTTCTGCTCTCAAGATAGGGAAGGTGGCCAGGGCCTCAGTTTGATTTTGGGATTCACATTGCCTTGGAGTCCTTAAGAAGGCAGAACAAAGGAAAAGTGGAAGGCAATGGAAATGGCAAGGCCTCTGGGCAGGGGGACAGATGTGCTCACAGAGGAAGACGCTGTCTCTGATAGATGAACAGGCCTCCCTGCAAAGCAGTAAAGGAGCAAGCATTTACACCGGTCACCTTAGTGGTTATGCCACCATCAGCACAGTCCCGTCTCAGGGGCATAGCGATTGCCCTCCTGTGTTACATGTTGACCATGGAGTGGCAAGAAACCCTGCTTGTCAAAGGAATAACCTGGCTACCAGTGACTCAAAGTGTTGCTGTCTCCATGTCAGACTGGAGAGTGCTCTTTGGAAGGCATCACATCGGAGACTCTGGCTGGCCTGACAGGTGTCACCTCCCCTCATAGCTCAAAGGTAGAATCATTCACATGGCCCCACCTAAACATGTAACCTACTGTGTGCTCAGAAGGTAAAGAAGTGAAGCTCATGTGTGAGTGGTACTGATGACTACAACATTCCACAGTAGCTCTGGCAGAAACTGAGTAGACCAGTGCCTGCCCAAGACCCCGGGAGCAGGGAGCTGGACAGCTGAATGGAGGCCTTCTGTTCCTGAACCTTCCTTCAGCAGGGTTCAGAGTTCTTCCCGAAGGCCTCCGCTGGAAGCAGACATCTGTTAATGTTTCCCTCACTCCAGTGTTGTACCATGGCCTACTGTGTCCACCAAAATGAACCCTGCATTCTTCCAGGACGTTCTCGCTACTTGAGGGACACTCAGAAGCCTAAGAGCTGTTCACTACAAGCTCTTTTCTCCTCATTTGTGTCACACACTGCATCTCCATCACCCTGGGTGTCTTTTCTGACCTCAGAGCAGGTCATACTTCATTCTATAAAACAGACCAGTCTGAGCCTGAGGTGGCATCTGCACCCAGCCCAAGAGCCCCCTTTCTGCACAGCCTTCCATGATGTGACCTCTGCAGCCAAGGACTCACGAAGGACTTAGGGATCTACAATAAGTTACGGCAATGGAGCCAGGTCAACTCAGTGCTGCAGTGCTACCAAGAGCACTCACAAAGCCAACACTCCATTGATTCTCCAACTGCTAGCAAGCCAGGATGGAAGGCAGGAATTGCAGCAAACGAGACTCGTGAGTTATCAATTAGAATCATATGGAAATGAAACGAAGGGGTTCCTGGAAAGAATGTGGAACTCTTCTCAAAGTTAGGTGTAAAAAACCACCCGTATTCAGTCTTTATAGAGGAAGGGAGAAAGCTGGGGATGCTGCTCAGAAGTGACTGCAGGTGAGAGCCTCTGGGGTCCATCTCTGGCATCACAAGAAGGGAAAACACAGAGAGGCTTCAAGCCAGGTTTAGATGGGGTGGGCGAGGGGTGTTAAGGTTCATGGTGCACTCTTATGATTGCAGCACTTGGGAGGCTGAGGCAGGAGGATCCAGAGACCAGCCTAGGCTATACAACGAAAGCCTGTCTAAAACCAAAAAGCAACTGGAAGGAGCCATTATGTTAAAATATGTGCACTGTTGGCAGGGTCAGATGATTAAATGGCTGTTAAAGGCTTAGGAGAGAAAGGAGAGCACCTCTACCTTGAATTGTGTCATTTATAAGTGTTTTGTTTACATGTGCATGTTTGCATGCTTGCATGCACGTATGTATGTGCACCATGGATGTGCCAGTATCTCCTAAGTTCAGAAGGGTGTCCAATCTCCCCAAATCAGGCTTACAGTTGTGAGCTGCCGGGGTGCTGGGTCTGAACTTGGGTCCTCTACAAGAGCAGCCAAGTGCCTTTAACTGCTGAACCATCACCTCTCTAAACATTTGAAACTTAAAAAGGTCTATGAAGGGAGCACACGTCACAGTGGGCATGTGGAGGTCGGAGGACCACTCAGCTTGGCTGCAGGCTTGCCTTTACCCTTTGAGCCACCTCCAGCCGAGACTATCCACTTTAAAAATCAGAAACTCAATGCAACATGCTATCCTGGATCAGTAAAGCAGATCGGTCGGTAGGAAACAAAATCTGAATGACATCTGTAGCAATGTGGCAAACATGGCTTCTTTTGGTGGTTGCCTCAAGTCATATTCCTATTGGACCCTTCACCCCACTACCAGAACTCACACCACTCAGTGTCCCACCCACCTCCCATTCTTCACCAACTCAGAAGTTGGGCTCCTCCTCCAAGGCTCTGGAAAGCCTTCCTGCACCTCCCTGCCATGTTCTAATTGTGCTTGCAAGGTGGTACAAAGAAGGAATTTCCTCAGAGATTAACACCCCTGTGTTAGGAACACATTGGGCAGTCACAGGTTGGACTGGGCTGCAGTTTACCCAGTAGACATAAGGAATTCTAAGATGTTTGGGAAGTCTTTACAAGGCAAGGCCCTATAGACTTGAGTCACCAGGAAAGGGTGATGGGCCGTGGACAGACTGGTAGGAGTACTTCCCATAGATGGTCAATCCCAGCAGCTGGGGCCAGCTTCTTTTCTGAAAGGAGCTGATGCATTCTAGCTGCTGTCATCTAGACATGCTACCGTTATGTCAACACTAATCTCCACTCCAGTAGAGAACAGAAGGCAGAATGAGGCTGTGGACTTATCCCTACAGGAACCAACCACCTTCTGTTCTCACTCAGGTCCCACAGAAGCCAGAGCTCAAACTCCCTTCTGTCTGCTTACCTAGAGCTCCCAACGCTGGAGGATTCATGTTCGTTCCAACTAAGTACAAAACACTGATGAAAAACTTCACTTACTGTTTCTTAATAATTTTCTGAGTTTATTTATCTTTTCAAGCAAACGAATACTTTTATTAACATGTAAGATTTTATTTTTGAAATACGGTAGGGGTTGCTTCTCAGGTCTGCTACTCAATACACTTATAGCCTGACTACATATGAACCTTGAAGACGCCTCTTCCTCGAAGTTTAGGGTCCATTGCAGACAGTTCCAAGTTTTCCTTCCCAGCCCACAAAGGGCATGGAAAGTATCTTTCATTTTATGCCCAGGATCTCCTCAAATATATGGGGATAAAATACCAACTGGCACAGACTAACAAGACCTCACCTCCCATTCTGGATTCCATTTCATATAGAAATGAGTTAGGCTGTCCAAACAAACTCACCAGACAGGTTACAATAGATAGTGGAGCGCATAAAATTTAAATTTTGCACAAAATACATCTCTCCTCCTTTGGTCTCACACAGAAATCAAAGCCCCCCTCCCCCAATAGAAACGATACTCTTCTCCGACCCTTCTCCCAGGTCATCAGTCTTAGCCATGTAAGGCCCATCCGTAGTCCCAGATGAAGTCTGGTTCCTTCTTCCACCATCGATGCAAGGAGTGGTCTTCTAGAATGAACGCAGCTCCTTCAGAACTCCAAGGGCCGGTGAGCTCCAACCCGAGTCTCAAGTGTCACAAAGAGCCAAAGTTCCAGGGAGCTATCAGATCACCCGAGAAAGAGCAAAGCACCTCAAAATGCATAAACAACAACCAAAGCCCAGGAAGGAACGTCATTCGACTGCCACGGGGGCTTACAATCTAGGCCCTAGTTCCCATATGTGAGTGAATTTTCCAAATCAAAGTAATTTCCCCCAAACAAACAAACAAACAAAAAAAGGAACCACTGAATAATCAATGAGTAACTCATATCGAGGTCGTCAACCGCAGACCGTAGCAGAAACGTAGTGTCAGTGAGAACAGAGTGAAGACAGAAGGGGTGGGGGGTGGGGGGGAGAAGAAAAACAAAAGAAAAAAAAGGGAAAACAAAAGGCTTTCTGGTTTCAGTTTCTCCAGGTGTCATGTCAGCCAATCGCCATCACTCGACCAGAATCCATTGGCTGGAAACCTAAATAAAAGCACGGGCGGGAGAGATACATCACCAAGACGTTAATCCCGCCGGACGCCACCGAACACACCGGGCCTCTCCTGGAGGCCGCCCCACGCCTTCCAGCACAATCTGGAATCTTCCACGGCCTCCCCCCCCCCGCCCCGGACAATCTGCTGCGGCCCTTACCCACTCCCGGGGCGACAGGCCAGCCTCCTCCCCACAGTCGCCCACGCCCTGCCAGGCCCCCTCCCTCACCGCGGCGGGCCGCTCACGACGACTCGCTCTTCTCTATCCGCCGCACCAGCTGCACCAGCATCTCGGCCATCTTCGCCATCTCCTGCGCCTTCTCCTCGGCCTTCTCCGCCCTGGGGCCGCGGGGCTCGGCGCCGGCCGCGCCCTGCAGGTGGTTGAGCGCGCTCTCCTCCGAGGCCTCCACCTGCGTCTTGATCTGGATCAGCATATTGTCCATCTCCCACAGCTTGCCCCGGTTGCGCACGGGCGCGCGCCCGCGCTCGCGCGTCAGCGACGCGATGTCCTCGCGCATCTCGTGGATGACGGGCAGCAGAAACTGCTCGAAGTCCTCCTCGGGCTCCAGCACCTCCACCTCCTCGGGCTCCGCCAGCTCCACCGCGTCCAGGGGCCGCATCTCTGCCGCTCTGCTCGTCCGCGGGACACTCAGTGACCGAGCTCCGGCCGAGTCCTCAAAACTTCCGCCGCCGCCGCTCAACTTTCCGGCCAGGAGAAGCCACGGAGACGAGCGACTGCCGAGCAGGCGAGCGGCGAACAAAATGGAGTTCTAACCGTCAACCAGAGCTCGGCGCCTTGCGACCCCTTTCACGACACCGCCGCGCCCCTCTTTACGGTCGCGCGGCGCGGTGCGGGCGCGCGCACGTCCGTGAAGGGGCGGGGCGAACGCCTTCGCGGCCACGCGCACACGTCAGCTCTCCATCCCTCCAAGATCCTTGGAGCAAATTCTGGATGCTGCCAAGATCACACTTCACTATATTTTATTCTTATTTCATTTATTATTACTATTTTTTGAGACAGGATCTCACGCTGTAGCCAAAGCTGTCTTGGAACTCAATTGCGTGGCTAAAACTGGTTTTAACTTTCAACAATCCTTCTGCTTCAACTTCCCCGGGTGAAAGAAAGTAAGGAAAAAAAGAGAAAGAGCTGGATGTGGTGGCTCTCATCTTTAATCCCAGTGCTCAGGGGCAGAGGCAGGTGGATCTCTGGGTTCGAGGCCAACTTGGTCTACATAGTGAGTTCCAATATAGTTACATAGTTACATAGTTGCATAATGAGACCCTATCTCAAAGCAAAAAACACCAACAACAACACAAAAAGCAAACAAACCAGTTTTTCTAATATGTACTGAGGGCAGCCATCCTGCTCATAGCCGCTCCTCTTCAGCCAGGTACTAGAGTTGGGTGTGCTTTTAACCAGACAGAGATCCTGGCTCTCTAAGGTGAAACTTCTGTCTGTTGGGTTCTGAGGCCCCAGCCGACCAAAGTTCAGTTGGTGTGAAAAGGACGTAACTTGGCTCACATAACTTAACAGTCACTCAATACTGATCTTTAAGGAAAGATGCAGAATTCTTAGTCTACTGATCAGACAGCATCTTCTCAAGAATCTGAACTGTGCATTTGGAAACTACTTTGTAAATATCAACCATAGGCATATATAAGGTGCATGTTTTTGATAACTCGTGCTTTTGTTTTTCAAGTCGGGTTTCTCTTGGCTAACCTGGAACTTTGTAGATCAGGTTGGCCTCAAACTCACAGAGAACATCCTGCCTGTTCCTCCTGAGTGCTTGTATTAAAGGTGTGCACCACCACTGCCTGGCTTAAAGTGCATGCTTTTAATTAATTTATTAGAATCTTTACACGGAGTGGCTTTTTTTTTTCTTTTTTAAGTCCAGCCTCTAGGTTTTCTTGACATCAGAGGAAACTATGCTATTAAAAAAAAAAATGAATGGCTTAAAGCACAATAAATACAGTTGCACATGGCACTATGATAGTTAGATTGCAGAACCCTGACAGGAGGAAAGACTGGTAAGCACGGACCTAGGAAATCCTTTTTGAGGGGAGTGTGTGTGTGTGTATGTGTGTGGGTGTGTGTGTGTGTGTGTGTGTGTGTGTGTGTGATCTCTATTGCTAAGACAGCTTCTACTGTACAACCCAGCAAATGAGTTGAACCCTTATATCCCCACAAAACCCATTGCAAAGACTATACACATCAGTGATTGTGAGTTACCAATAATGCATCAGTGTCACATTAAGGAAAGAACTAGAAGGCCTTCCCCATGGAGATGTTTAACTAAGAGTGAGTCCAGGTTTGAATTGTCTGCCTCAGGCTTCCTGTGTTTTCTTTCATCTGTCTTGTCTCTCTGCTGCATGAGTCTGAATCTGTGCCTGCCTGAAGGTTGTCTTGTGAATCGGTTTGCCCCTGTGACTTTCTGTGTCTGTGTCTGTGGTGTGAGCTGTCTCTTCTGTGTGAAGTATATCTGTCCCTAACAAAGGGCTTTGCTCTATCGCTACTGAATGACACTGAAAGCATCATGTAGGGAAGGAATGGGACACTTTACAGAAATCTTTAACAGAGTGGTGTAAGGGATTAAGTCACTGGCTCCAAATAATCCAGCAAACAAGCATTGTTTATCAACCAGTAACCATAATTGGATGTTTTCAACTTTTATGGTAGATTTTAGGAAGTTACTTTCAATTTTTGTATTTGCTGCTTTTCTGGGTCAAGGGCTTGGGAGAGTATGTAAGATTATAGAGATGCATTAGCTTAGGTTCTAAAAGTTGATTACATAGGAAATCCAAGGCAAGTAAGGTTGCTCTCTTAAAGGCAAGTTAACCCAACAGTTTGAGTACATAGACCTCAGGTGTATTATTAACTTTGGCTGTTTAGCAAAAGTTTCAGTCTCTTAGAATGTAAGATATTTTCATAACATTGCATTGCTACAATTCTACACGTTTACAGCTCCTGTATTTGTTACTGAGCAAAGAAGCAAACAGCTCTAGTGGGTGAATAAACAATGGAATAATGTCATTCAGCATGTTGTGCCTACAGGGAATCCTCTCAGCCTCCAAGGAAGTGACTCCACTGCAAAAGCAAGTTTTTTATTGCTAAGAACCAAATCGACTGGAACCTCATTCTATCAGAAGAGTAAGGTGCCTGCTTACAATTGTGAAGCGTTTTTTAAAAAGGAAAAGGGAAAGGGAGTCTTGAGACAGCTAGTCTCAGCTCACAAGGTTTCCAAGGTTACAGAGATTTTACAGAGTACAAAGTTTCTTTACAAGGTCGGTAGGCTCAGTGGCCCTGTTCCCAAGATAATGGGGCAGGGAGGATGCTGGGGGGGGGGGGGCTCTGGCTTTCTTCTTTATCTCCCGAGAACGGCATGTGGGCTCTGTACTCTGTAGTCAGGGAGTTATCTACTGGCAGAGATTCTTGTTCTCTCTAGTTTTCCCTTCTTGCCATAAGCCCCGATTTTATACATTTTAGTTATTAATTTTTCCATCACACAGCACTAAAAGGAATAAGCAACCAAACAATGAAAAGATCCATGGAGTCTTAAGTGTTACTAAATGGAGGAGGTCCACCTGTGAGTCTGCCGCATGGTTCTAACTACTTGAGCTTCCAAAAAGGTCAGGCAGGGACACAGAAAGATGAGAGGTTGGTTCAGGATGGTGGGACAAGCAGATAGAGCAAGGAAGCTTTTTAGTGCAGTGAAGCTGCTCTGAGAGACACATGCCATCACACATCCATCTGAATCCACACAGTGTGAACCCTAACAGAAGCTGCTTTGCTGCTGGCACTGTGCACTGTAGGCCCACCGCTGGAAACAACGCTCCACTGGTGTAGGGTTGTTGCGGGGAGAAGTCAGGGCCTATGCAAGAACTCTGCACTTTCTGCTCACTTTCCCTGGGCCCCTGAAATCCCTGTTGGGGAAAAAGAATGCTGTGAAAGGGGATGAGAGAGGCTGGGAAGCTAATGTGCTCACTGTGCAAATGTGGAGACCTGAGTGCAGACCTTTATTATCCGCGTGGTGAAGAGGGTGCAGTGGCTCATGTCTGTAACCCTAGCGTGTGTGTGTGTGTGTGTGTGTGTGTGTGTGTGTGTGTGTGTGTGTGTGTGTGTGTAGACAGACAGCTGGATCTCAAGCTTGATGATCAGCCAGTCTAGCTGAATTGGGAAGCTCCAGGAGTGTTCATCCCAGGGAGCTTTGTTTTCTGTTTGTAGTTCCTGTTCTTTCTTCTTTTGGTTATTTGTTTTCCACATTTAGATAGGGTGGGGAGGAGGTGCCATTGCTCCTGTGGGCTTGTGGAAGGCAAAGGGCAATTTGTAGGAGTCTGTTGGTTCTTGACACATGTGGGTCTGAGAGATTAACTCAGGTTTTAAGCTTAGCATCAAGTACCCTTCCTTACCTGCTGAGCCATCATTCTGTCCCTCTGCCACCCAACCGGGTGTATGTGTGTCCCTGTGCATACATACGTGTGTGTTCGAGAGCCTGCAGGCAGGGTAGCCGCTGCTACGTACAGGGGCTAGCTGTCCTGTAAGCGTCAAGAGATTCTTCCCTTCCGCCGGCACCTCCCATCTGGTCAGGGAGCACAGGGGGACACCAGTGCTACTGTGCTTGGTTTTACCTCCATGCTTGCAGGGCCTTCACCCACTAAGTCATTTATCCCCAGCCCCGTTCTCTAACCATTTTCTTTATTGTTTAGTTCCTTAAGAAAAATTGAAATTAGCACTCTTCTGTGTTTCTAATAAAGCGTTTCAGACGCTAAATTCCAATGATGTGTGACTTGTGTTTCACCCCACTTTGGGTATTTTCTTATTATTTATCTTAAGAGTAAGTTTAGCTGGACTGTAGTAGTGTACACCTTTAATCCCAGCACTCGGGAGGCAGAAGCAGATGAATCTCTGTGAGTTCAAGGCTAGCCTGGTCTACAGAGAGAGTTCCAGTACAGCTAGGGCTGTTACACAGAGGGACTCTGTCTTGAAAAACAAACAATAAATAAATAAATATAAAAATAAAATAAATAAAAAAGTATGTCTATTCCTGTTATGATTTTTTTTTTAAAAAAAAAAGTGTTTGCATATTTGAGATGAGACCTGGTCTACATAGTGAGTTCCAGGACAGTCAGGGTAAAATAGTGTAAGACCCTGTCTCAAAATAAAATAAAGTTGAGGATGCAGTTTTGCAATCAGCTTGATCGTGGCAGCCTCAGGGCATGGTAGCAGCTACTGGAAAATAAAGGGGTGTAGGATTCTCAGCTGACCAACAGTGGGAAGCAACCTCATTTCCCCAAGCTGGAGACTGGAGAACAGTTCATCCTAGAAGCGGCAAGGAAAGCTATGTGGGGAAGAACCGCAACTCTAAGTCCTGTGGCTCAGGTCCAGATCTGCAGGGCGAGAGGTGGCAATTTCTGTTCCCTCTTGGTTCCTGAATGCACCGTGCTTAGAAACTTGGAGCATGGAGTCTCTTAATGACTTTCAGAGACAGCGTGGCCTTGGGCACATGGGAGAGAACTCTCTGCATGACTGTGGTCCTTGCATTGCGGCTGATTCTGAGAATAGGTGCTCCAAGGCTGATGATACGCTTCACTGTCAAGGCTGGAAGGAATTTTGTCCTTTGTACTAAATGTGACCTGTCTTAGGGTTTCTATTGCTGTGAAGAGACACCATGACCATGGCAACTCTTGAAAAAAAAAAAAACAAACAAAATAAAAAAAACCCAAACAAATATTTAATCGGGGTGGCTTACAGTTTCAGAGGTTCAGTCCATTATCATCATG